TCCCAGGTGACTGGGGGATGTTCTCCTCCCCCCTTCTGCAATTTATCCCGTCGAATTTCCCACCAGGAAACAGCTTCATTACATCAACAACAGGAAGACCCCACAGCTTTGTCACACAGAAAAGCAGCTGTTAGTCACACATCAAGGGAGCAGGGGAGGGGAAAAAAAAACCCTTCACCTTTTTCTGCTTTAATGTTTGCAGCGTTAATGGCTCTGCGGAGGGAAGCGAGTCCCGGCCATTCCATAACTAACCATCACCAGCGAGGATCACTTAATATCCAAGTGTCTTCCTGCTTTTCCTGCTACATGATTGCTTTGGAAAGAAAGATTAATTCCAACTTTAAAAAAGAAAACACTATTTTTATCATTGCCAGGAGTCTATACGGGCTTAAAAAAGAAAAAGCGCTTGCTTGTCGTTTTACATCTTGCAATTTTGTCAGTTGTTTTAAAACATGTCTCCTGTAATAAATAAGATCATTTTTATGCACTTGTTCTGCAGCTAAAAGCGAGGCCCGGGCTGGTGTTGCGTGGGGAGTGGAGGCACTCGGGGATGGAGCAGGGCAGGGGAAACGCTGACTAGGAGGTTTTGCTTCCCCAGAGCAGCTGAGGAGCTGCGGGGTGGGCAAGGGGGGATTTACCTGGGCACAGCAGGTGTACAGCGGGCACCGGGGGACGGATAAAGGCTCGGATTTAGGATGTGCCTTGGATCCTCATCCTGCAGCGGGGCTGGAGCCGCCCCCAGCTCTCCCCATGGTGCCTGGAAGCTCCGTGGGACCCGTCCAGGCTGCACCTAGCGCGGGCTGTCCCCCTGGCCTGTCCCCCAGTGCCCTGCACAGCTGGGAGATGGTGCCTGCTGCCACATCCCACACACCCCCAGCTCCTCTTACCCCCTTTTCCCTCAAACTGTGTCCAGCAGCAATGAGGCAGGAGTGATTTATTCAGTCAAAGCCCAGCAGAGTTACAGCGATTTAAATTCGTGCAGGTTGCAGCGCTTGGGTGCCTCTCTCCATCCTGCCTGCTCTGCACCCCTTGGCACCCAGGGGCCAAGGGACAGAAAACTCCCTGCTCAGACTCATCCCAAGTTACTGGAAGGTCTTGAAGGTAAACAAAAACCTAATTCCCTCTTCCCCAGCCTCGCTTCACAGGTCGCAAAGACGCCGGAGTCCCTGGGCTTCGTCAGGGCTCTGCACAGGAACTCGTCCTTGGTGAAACCAAAGCTCCTCAGTGGCAGCCCAGGTGGGACAGGTCCTGCTTAGGGATAAAAACATCATCATTCACTGGTGAAAGTGCTCCCAGAGGCTTCTGGTCTTCTTTGGCTTGGCTTCCATTCCAAATATTTGGCTTTTCCTTTGGTGCTGGTGTTATTTTTGTTGGGCAAGGGTCTCTCTGCTTTTGTTTGAACTTTTGCAATCTCTGAGCAGAGAGGGGTTTGTCACGGAGCAGATCTGGACACGGAACACGGAAGTTTAACTTTCTCCCCTCTGCTTCTCCTTAACAAAAACAGGACCCCCGTGGGTTTTAGAGCAGAGGATCCAACCGGTGCCAGGAAGGGCACCAGCGTGGAGCAAGATTCATCATCACCCACAACATCCCTCTGATGGAGCTTTAATCCAGCAGACACAAGCTGGTGCAGAAATGCCCTCTGTGTGCCAGCACCGGGGCAGGATCAGGCCTTGGGCATGACCCAAGGTTTGGGGAAGGATGAACGGCCCCGGGGGCATCGCTGCCCCGTGCCCTCGCTCCGCCCTGGCACCGCCGCTGCTCTTATGCTCTTGTCCCACCTGATTTTAGGTTACTCTGTGAAGGCCGAGTTGTTGTTGTTGGCAAACAACTCGAGGGACTTTGAGGAAAGCCTTTTTTTCCGTTTCCTCCTTCCCTGAATGGCTCCTTTGAAAGGCAGCGCCTCTCCGCTTCCATCCCGCTGTCCGGATTGAATCGATCCCGCGGTCAGCTTTGGGAGAGCGAAAAAAAGGGAAGAAAAAAGCCTCACAAAGAGGGGAAATGGACAGGTCTGACCCTGGGTGTGATTGATAGGGTTGGATAAGCGAGGCTGGATGTCAGGCTGCGCTGGGCGATGCCAGCACTCACCGGGGAAATCCAGCAAAGCCTTTTTTCCCAGAACCCAGAGCAGCAGCCTTGGGGAGGGGTGGGCACATGAACTCAATAATAGCAACATTGTTGGAACATAAAGCGTCTGTCAGGAGTTAATATGATTAATTAGAGGTGTCTGTCCTTCCCCCTCTCCCTCACTGGGGAGGCAGGAGGGACCTGAAACACAAACCCAGGGGGGGCAGAGGTGGGGCTGGAATGGGCACCTGGCCCCACACTGCCTTTCTTCAGGCCTAAGGTCCTCAGCTCTCATCCCATCCTGGCTCCCACAACTTTATCCTGTCACTCCACATCCCCATTCTATTGCACATCTCCCCTCAAGCCCCCATTCTCCCACCAGCTCCCACCTGAAGCCCAGGAGAGCCAGGGAAGGAGCTGTCACCCCAGCAGGACCCCGCAGCCTGACGTGCAGGAATCACCTGGATACACCTGTATCACCTGGATACAGCTCCAGGATTTATCCGTGTGCCTCGGCTCCTCGGGGATACAGCCTGGCTGAGCTCGGCTGCTTTTCAGCCCCCTGCAAAACTGAAGCCCCGGGGGATTTTGAAATTAATTCAAGGATGTCTGGAAAAGGTAACTAGAAATAGGAAGTTAATTGTTGGAAGTTAATTAGTTATACAGCAGCCTGCACTGGCACCTGAAGATTTTTAAGACTCAGCAAAGCAAAGGAGAAAATGCCTGGAGAAAAGGAGTTGTAGGTTCACAAGGGAATTGTCACTTTGTGAGAGCCCTGAGGTAAGGTCAGCCCCCTCCCCTTGGGTGGCTCTGGGACGGGGCACAGGCACTGCCTGCAGGGTCACGAGAGTGGCAGGACACGGGCACAGGGCTGCTGAGCTGTGCCGTGCCAGGCTGTGCCAGGCTGATCTTACCGAGGCAGTGCCGTGCCAAGGTGTGCCAGCTGAGCCGTGCCATGCCATCGTCAGCCACGCTGGGCATGCTGTGCCAGCCGGGCCATGCTGTGCCATTCCAGGCTGTGGCATCTCGTGTCAGCCATGCCCAGGTGTCTGAGCTGTGCCATGCTGTGCCCTGCTAAGGTGCTCCAGCTGCTGGGCTGGCAGATCCAACCCAGCCCATGCCATGGTAAACTGTGCCGGCAGTGCCAGCCCATGCCATGCCATGCTAAACTGTGCCGGCAGTGCCATGTCCTGTCAGTGCCAGTCCTGTCATGTCATGTCATTCATGTCATTCAAGCCATGCCAAGGTGTGCCATCAGTGCCATGCCATGGTAAACTGTGCCAGCAGTGCCATGCCAAGCTGTGCCAGTGGCACTGAGCTCTGCCGTGCCGAGCCGTGCCAAGCCGAGCCGAGCCGATCCGAGCCGTGCCGTGCCGAGC